AAGACTTGGGGATTTAAGAAATTATCCACCTGTGCAGATTGCTAAAGATGATGTGATTAGGAGATTCACTATGAGGAAAGTATACTCCAGAGAGAGAACTAGGTATGTGGCTAACCAACATTTTTCTGGTAATTCAGAAGAACCAAAAATTCAAAATACTCTTCCCAAAGAGGGCTCTTTGTAGAAGTCAGCCATACAACTCATGGATACTTTCACCCATCTCATCAAACACCAGAAATAAAGATATTTTCTGGGAAAAATCTGTGAAGGACCCTGTGGTCTAAGGAAGTGAATCCCCATGACATAAATGGGAGACCTACAAAGTTTCTGACAATATTATATCAGAAGAAACATTGCTATAAAAGACCATTGGACTCTCAATATTCTACAGGCAAGAAATAGTCTGCTATAACTACTCTGCAGCAACACATGCCACCTTTCATGAAAGAAGGATGGCTCAGTGGGCAAACTCTAGGGCCCAGAAGGTAGATGCTTGAGCACTGAGGGTAGAGCCCTGAGCCCAGAGGATGGAGCCTTGAGCCAATTGTTCCCATGCCTTGAAACCAAATGGAGTTTGCCCAATTGGGTTTCAAAGTTGCTTGGAGCCAGTGAGTTCTTTTTTCTTTCCACTTGCTCTTTTTTTGGAATAATGTCTGTAATTATTGTCTTCCATTGTATATCACAAGCAGATAACTTGCCTTCAAGTTTTGCAGTCCAGAAATGCAGAAGAATATTGCCCCAGAACAGATCATACAGATCCTTACAGGTCATACAGATACCTGATTTACATTATTTAGATGTTGCAGAGTATGCGGCATTGTGAATGTTAACCATGGAGATGTTTCATAATATAGCATCATACAGGTACTCATAAAAACCCATTGCTTTCGACACATAACGACTCCTCCTTGGGTTTCCAAGGCATTATCACTATGGAAGTAGATTGTCCAATCTTCCTTCCAAGGAGTGGCTGGTGGGTTTGAACCACCAGCCTTCTGGTTAGCAGTCAAAGGCCTGAGGCACTATGCCACCAGAGCTCCAATAGGTACTCATAGAGATGGCATATATGTAGTATAGTGTAAGAAGCATATATCAAAGAGATGACTCAGACATCATGTAGGATCACACATTTTCATTGAGGAGGTGATGCAGCCATGGTGTAGAGCATACATGGTAGTAAGGGAGATGAAGGAGAAATATTCCAGCATCATATGTGGGTTTCTAAGAAATGACACAGATATGACACAGAACCATTTAGGGTTATGAAGAATGAGATGAAGATGTAGTGGAACATGGACTGGCACAGGCTATAGCAATGGCCTCAAGCACAGCAATGATCATGAGGCTGGCAAAAGACTGAGCAATGCTTCATTATATGCTTACACAGGGTTGTATGATTCCCAACTGACTTGGCTGCACCTAACATAATATAATGTAACATCAGAAGTGGTTTTAAAGGGAATGACAAAGACATAGCATAATTTAAAACACAGGAGTCAGGCGTAGGATGCAGACACGAGGTAGCATCAAATACGGTTAGCAGAGGGATGATGCAGATGCAGTGTGACTTCATGCATGGTCATCAGGTGGATCATGCAGACAGAGTGTAAAATCATCTGTCTGCAGACATAAGAGATGTCACAGATTTAGTGTAGCATCATATTTGGTTGTTGAGGTAATGTCTCAATGGCCTGACACATGGTAGACTCACTACAGCATCACATATGCTTGTCAAGGAGATAAAGCAGATGGAGTGCAGCAACACAGGCTGTTGTTGAGGAGATGATGCAGACATAGTATAGCACCCGACATGGTTCTCTAGGAAACGATGTAGATATAGTATAGTGTTCTACAGGGTTGATGATGATGCAGAAATTGTGTAGCGTTATGCATGTTTGTCAGAAATATGATGCAGACAGTGTAGTATCACAAATGCTCATCAGGGAAATAACACATACATAACAAATCATCTTATGTGGCTGACACAGAGATAGCACAAACCTAATGGAGCCTCGCATATGGTCGTCATGAGGCTGACCCACTGTCTAGTATCATAAATGGTTATCCAGGATATGATGCATCATAGCATACCAATATATACGGTTGTCAATGAGATGATGAAGGTATAGTATAGCATTACATGTAGCTTTCACAGAGATGATACGTAGTGTGACATCATACATACTTGTCAACAAGATGACTCATAAAATAATATCATACGTGGTTTACTAGGATATGATGCAGATCTAGTATAACATCATATGTGGCAGTCAAGGAGATGATGCATGTATAATGCAGCACCATACATGGTTTTTAAGAAGGTGACACAGATTTAAGCATTACCGTATGTGGCCCTCAAGAAGATGATGCAGACATACAAAGCACTGGGTCTACCTGGCCATCAGGGAAATAACGAATACATAATTTAATGCCCAGATGATGAACTAGAATATCCCGTTACACATGGTGATCAAGGAGATGATGCAGACGTAACACAGCATTCCATGTGGTCATCATCAACAACTGTGATATGGAGATGACACAACCCTTCTTGCTGAAAGCAAAGAGGACCTTAAGCACTCACAGATAAAATCAAAGACTACGTACAGGCTTGAGTCTGGATCACACCTCAATATAAATAAAACAAAAATCCTTACAGCCGGACCAACAAGCAACATCATGACATTATGAAAAGAAGTTGTCAAGGGTTTCATTTTACTTGGATCCACACTTAACACCCATGAAAGCGGCTGTTAGAAAACTAAATAACACACTGAGTGAGGCAGAAGACCTCTTTTTAAAGTGCTAAGGAGGTTAAAGCATTGAACACTAAGGTGCACCTGACCCAAGCCACTATCTTTTCAACAGCCTCCTATGCATGTGAAAGCTGGACAATGAATAAGGAAGACTGAAAAAGAGTTGCCACATTTCAGTTATGGTGCTGACAAAGAATACTGAATATATCCTGGACTGCCAGAAGAATGAACCAATCTGTCTGGAAGAAGTACAGCCAGAATGTACTTAGAAGTGAGAATGGCCAGACTTCATCTCTCCTGTTATCCAGAGGCAGCAGTCCCTGGAGAAGAACATCATCCTTGGTAAAGTGGAGGGTCAGAGAAAAAGGGGAGGTCCTTCAACGAGATGGACTGACACAAGGGCTGCAACAGTGGGCTCAAGCACAGCAAGGATTGTGAGGGTGGCGCAAGGCTGGGCCGTGTTTTGTTCTGTTGAACAATGAGTTGAAACTGACTTGACAGCACCTAATAACAAAAACGACAACAACAACAATGTGGTTATCAAGGATATGATAATGACATGGTGTAACAAGATACACGATCATCGTGGAGATGAGGCAGATATAGGTCCCATCACAGCTGATCATCAGGGAGATGACCCATAGTGTAGAATCATACATGTTTATCAAGCAATGCATACATCGTTCCATGAATTAAATTTATAGACTGATTACCTACCATCAGCTGAAGCAGTTGCAATAAGTTTTCCAGTGAAATCAAAACAGCTATCTAATATTTCATCATCGTGGCCTGTTAAGGTTGCCACACATTTTCCATTTGTAGCATCCCATAGCTGCAATTTAAAAATTAAAGACTATGATTTCCTGCTTATAGAGCAAATATGACCAGAAGCAGTCTTTATGGCACATTTATGACCAGTTAACTAACTTTGCCAAAATTGCATGCATAATTTGTGTGTGTTTGGTTTTACATTAATTCATGGCCAGAGACCATAGTCAGCTATATAGGAAGTCACATTTCAGTCATAGAAAACTAAGTCAGATATTTGAATGGATCCATGCAAATCCATCACCACACTAGGAAAAACTTTCAAAGTGCATGCTTTCCTGATTGGAGTGGAGATGTCATCTTTTTATATAAAGGACATCATGATGAATGCTTGATCTAAAACCCCAACTCCAGGGAATGGAAAGTATATTATAAGATTTATAAGACATCTGAGAGATAATCAAATAATTTCAGAGCATGAGCCATTTTTAAGAGTGCAGAAACTTAGAGGCAAGGAGACACTTCATTGAGATTCCTTGAGATTAATACTAATCACAATTTATAAATGAACAGAAAGACATTTTTTAAAAATATGTCTTTTGAAATAAGACCTTTAAATAAATCTCAGTCAAGTGCCTTATCCACTACGCCATCAGAGTTCTAAATAAATCTCAATTGCAATTACTACATTGCTATTCCTTTCAACTTGGGAAATCAGAAACCCCGAAATAAGAACAATGACCAATTGTTATTTCTAAATTAGCATTTTAATTTCACAGTACCTTTGAAATTTGTAAATGTTACAATGTATAATCTGATGCAGTAAAAAAGACAGATACAAGAATTAGAGAGTGAAGGTACTTCTTTAGCTCACCATGCAGGTTTTGTCCATCGAGCCAGTTAATATCAGGGAGCAGTCCCAGTTGAATAATGCACTGCTGATCTCAGCACGATGACCAATCAAGGTATACACCTTCCTGCAAAATGGAAAAATTAAAAGCGGTGAAAGATACCTGACTTCAGGATATGCACACAAATAAAGAGGTCAAGTTCATGGAAGGAAGGTAATCTGTATTTTGGTTTACACAAAATGATATCCTTGATGACAAAGCAAAAAAGGTTCTGCCACAGCCCAGAACAAATCAACTCAGCTACTGATTTTATTTCAACAAATATGCATTTAAGATTTAAAACAAAGAAAATAACAGTGAAGACCTAATACTTCAGAAAGGAATGGGCAAAAAACAACAAAGGTAGTATGAAATTCTGGAATGATTTTTACACCAGTTAAGTGAATGCCTGTTGTTCCAGAACGATCCATCCAATGACTGAAAGGGCCCTGGCTTCTCTCTTTTCTTATTGCATATATTTTGGGCATTACCTGTGGTGGTTATGTTTGTGTGTCAACTTGGCGGGGCCTGGTTGAGTGTTAGGGCAGCTGGTGGTAGTTATTCCCCATGAAGACACTGGCAATCAACTCCATAGTGGGATCTACCACAAGCAGCTGAGTAGCTGCCTTTGGGATGTGGTCTGCTTCCTGTATGTAAGAAGCAGCTTTGGGAATAGTCTCTAGCTTGCATGCTTGAACCCTGCATGTAGCCAAATCATTGTTCAGCAGCCTGCCATGCTCTGCCAATCTTGGGACTTTTAATGGACTTGAATTAATGGCCTGCCGTGTCATTTGATAATATCAGGACTATGCCTCATTACTTATTAACCTTGGGTTTGTCAGCCTCAGCAGCCAGCAGCTGAGTAAAGAAAAGCCTCTAGCTTCTGTGGGCTAAGAGCAGGAGGCAGAGCTGAAGCCCAAGGTTGAGAGGCTTTTACCCAGCCCCGAGAGCCTGGCACTTTGAACTGGCACTGAAAGCCTCCCAACTGTAAGAGAATAAATTTCTGTTTGTTAAGCCATCCCATTTATGGTACATTCTTGTCAGAGAGGCACCAGGTAACCAAAACATTACCCCTGATAATCATCCCCACCATCAAAATGCACACAAGTTCAAGAGTGGTGTTTTATAACACAAATAGACTAATGTAGTTAACTTCTTAGCAACTAGAACTAAAAATCATTAGGAAGGAAATTGAAGCTCTGGGACTAAATTAAATTTGGGAAATTAGCTATGAGTTTGATTTATTTATGATATCCATGCCCACCACAATGAAAGACCATTGAGATTGGATTATATAGCACATAGAGCAAATAATCAAGCTATCTAACCATGCTATTTCAAATATTATTCTTTTATGTTGCTTTCACATTATTTCCCCACCATTCCCAGGAAACACATATTTATTTTTGTGGACCAGAAATACCCTCTAAAGAATGAATGCATTTATGCTTTTTAAGTGTCCTATTCCTATAGGGAGCTCTGGTAGTGTAGTGCCTAAGGCACTTGACTGCTAACCAGAAGGCTGGCGGTTCAAACCCACCAGCCACTCCTTGGAAGGAAGATGGGGCAATCTACTTCCGTAGTGATACTGCCTCGGAAACCCAAGGAGGGATTGCTATGAGTTGGGTCCAACTCGATGGCATATAACAACAACAACAACAACATTCCTATAGAACCGAAAACACAGTAAATATCAAATTAAACCAGTATATAACAGGGAGTTTCTTTTGAACAGCTTGATTCAAGCTAAAAAATTCATACCTCCCAGTTGCAGCATCCCACACTGAAACTGTGTGATCAAATGAGCCCGTGATGATTTTATTTCCTTCTGTGTTGAAGGACAAGGAAATGATTTCAGCTAAATGTCCCTAGAAAGAGAGCAGATATTGTCATGTATTCCCACAGATAAAACGATTTCTACACATGTATAATATAATAGTCTAAAAGGAAGTGACAGAAAAGGCAAAGCTATAGAGGCAGAAAGTAGATAAGTAGTTGCCTAGGGCTACAGGTGGGGTCCTTGGGTCATGCAAACGGTCAGTGTACTCTGCTGCTGATGGAAACATTGGGGATTCGAATCCCCCCAGAGGCACCTCGAAAGAAAGGCCTGATGATCAACTTCCAGAAATCAGCCATTAAAAACTCTATGGACAAAATAAATACATGGGACCTCATAAAAATTTAAACCTTTTGTTCATCAAAGGACTCTACCAAAAAAGTGGAAAGACAAGATACCAACTAGAAGAATATCTTCAGAAGCCCTATATCCAACAAGAATCTAATAACTAAAATATATATTTAAAAAACTCTGAAAAGTTAACAGCAAAAAGACAACCCACATGTAAAATGGACAAAGGACTTGAATAGACATTTCACCAAAGAGAACATTCAATGGCCACCAAACACGTGGAAAGATGCTCAGTGTAGCTGACCTCTGCCTCAGAGAGGCAAATCAAAATCACAATAAGATACCATTTCACTCTCACTGAAGTAAGTAAGATAAAAAACAAAAACATAAAATAACAAATGATGGTGAGGATGTGGGGAAATTGGAACCCTTATCTATTGCCAATGGGAACACAAAATGGCACAGCCATTGTGGAAAACAATTTGGTGAGTATAAAAAAAACTAAATACAGAACTACCATATGACCCAGCAACTCCACTCCCAGGTATATACCCAAAATACATGAAAGCAAAGACTCAAAAAGGAACTTATATACAATGTTCACTACAGTGTTATTCACAATAGCCAAGAGGTAGAATCAAGCATGAGTGGATAAACAACATGTGGTACATACATACAATGGAATACTACTCAGCCAGAAGAGAAATGAGCCTTGATCATTTGGTTTACACAAAATGGTATCCTTGGTGACAAAGCAAAAAGGGAGACAAAATTGTCTGTCAGTTTATCCTACTGTGGTGGCTTGCATGTTGCTCAAGAAGACAACATCAATTATTATAATGAAATGTGCAAAGACCTGGAGTTAGAAGACCAAAAGGGAAGAATACACTCAGCATTTCTCAAGCTGAAAGAACTGAAGAAAAAATTTAATCCTCGAGTTGCAATATTAAAAGATTCTATGGGCAAAATATTGAATGATGCAGGAAGCAGCAAAAGAAGATGGCAGGAATACAGAGTCACTGTACCAAAAAGAATTGGTCAATGTTCATTCATTTCAGGAGGTGGCATATGATCAAGAACCAAAGGTATTGAAGGAAGACATCAAAGCTGCACTGAAGGAACTGGCAAGAAACAACTTTCCAGGTATTGACAGTATACCCATGGAGATGTTTCAACAAACAGATGCCATGCTAGAAGCACTCATTCGTCTATACCAAGGAATTTGGAAGACAGCTACCTGGCCAACTATCTGGAAGAGATCCATATTTGTACCTATTCCAAAGAAAGGGGATCCCACATAATGTGGAAATTATCAAACAATATCATTAATATTGCATACAAATAATACCTTACTGAAGATAATTCAGCAGTATATTGACAGAAAACTTCCAGAAATGCAAGATGGATTCAGAAGAGGACATGGAACAAAGGATATCATTGCTGGTGTCAGATAGATCTTGGCTGAAAGCAAAGATACCAGAAAGATGTTTACTTGTGTTTTATTGACTATGCAAAAGCATTCAATTGTGTAGATCATAATAAATTATGGATAACATTGAGAAGAATAGGAATTCCAGAACACTTGATTGTACTCATGAGGAAACTGTACATAATACAGGAGGCCGATGTTTGAACAGAACAAGGGGGCACTGCCTGGTTTAAAATCAGGAAGGGAGTGCATCATGACTGTATCCTTTCACCACACTTATTCAATCTGTACACTGAGCAAATAATCCAAGAAGCTGGATTATATGAAGAAGAATGTGGTATCAGGACTGGAGGAAGAATCATTAACAACCTGTGATATGCTGATGACACAACTTTGCTTGCTGAAAGTGAGGATGACTTGAAGCACTTACTGATGAAGATTGAAGAATACAGTCTGCAGTATGGCTTACACCTCAATATAAAGAAAACAAAAATCCTCACCACTGTATCAATGATCAGCATCACTATAAATGAAGAAAAGAATGAAGTTGTCAAAGACTTCATATTATTTGGTTCTACAATCAATGCCAGTGGAAGCAGCAGTCAGGACATCAGACAGCGTATAGCACTGGGCAAATCAGCTGCAAAAGACCTCTTTCAAGTGCTGAAGAGCAAAAATATCTTCTTGAAGACTAAGGTGCGCCTGACACAAGCCACAGTATTTTAAATTGCCTCATATGCATGTGAGAGCTGGATGACAAATAAGGAAGAGTGAAGAAGAGTTGATGCTTTTGAGTTGTGGTGTTGGTGAAGAATACTGAAAGTACCATGGACTGCTAAAAAACTAACAAATCTGTCCTGGTAGAAGTGTAGCCGGAATGCTCCTTGGAAGTGAGAATGGCCAGACTTCATCTCACCTACTTTGGTCATGTTGTAAGAAAGGACCATTCCCTGGAGAAGGATATCATGCTTGGTAAAGTGGAGGGTCGATGAAAAAGGGAAAGGCCCTCAATGAGATGTACTGACACAGTGACTACAACGATGGGCTCAGGTACAGCAAGGATCATGGAACCAGCACGGAAGTAGGCAGTGTTTCACTCTGCTGTACATGGGGCTGCTATGAGTCGGAGATGACTCGATGGCACCTAACAACAACATATGCTACAGTGTGGATGGAGCTTGAAGACATTATGCTGAGTGAAATAAGTCAATCACAAAAGGACAAATATTACATATCCTCACTCATATAAAAAGACAAGGAAAGGCAACTGCATAGAGACCAAAGTTTATTAGTGGTTACCAGAGGCAGGAGGAAGGTTACTGGCGATGGAAAAATTGCACTGATGAAGAGTGGGGTTGAACAGCCAATTATAATTACTGTCAATAGGTTTTATACCTGTAAAAAGTTGAACTGACACTCACACACACAGAGTGTACCTACTGAGGCTGCTTATGTATAACCAAACACTTAATGGAATTTGGCTACTTGGTTTGGAGGTTAGGGTCATGGTTTCATGGAATATCCAAGTTAATTGGTCTAATAATGTGTTTAGTGCTTATGTTCTATCTCATAGTTTATTGTGTGGGAGCTCTGGTGGTGTAATGCCTAAGGCATTTGATTGCTAACCAGAAGGCTTGCTGTTCAAACTGACTAGCCACTCCTTGGAAGGAAGAATGGGCAATACTGCCTCAGAAACCCAAGGAGGGGTTGCTGTGAGTTGAATGGACTTGAAGGCAGTAAACAGAGTTTTTTTAGTTCACTGTGTAGTTCCTGAGATCTAAAAGCTTGCAAGTAGCCATCCAAGGCACAAGAATTGATCTCTATTCACCTGGAGCAAGAGAGGAAGAAGTAGAGTCAGGAATAGAAGGGGAGTGTGGAATGTGTGTCTAATTGCTTCCTTTAACAACTGCTTCCTTTGCCATGAGACCAGAAGAACTGGATGGTGCCCAGCTATCATTACTGAACATTTTGATCAAAGATTCCATAGATGACTCCTGATCAAAGGGAGGAAAATGCAAAACAGACATTCTCATGGACTCTAGACTTCCTGGAGCCATGGAAGGTGGATGAACTCCTGAAATCACAGCCCTGAGACAGTCTTTAAACCCCAAACCCAAAACATCCCCTGCGGTCATCTTAAAACTGAACACTAGTTTAGGTTAACTAGCAAAAAAAAAAAAAAAAAGAAAAAAAAGGTCTGCCCTGAGCATTATGCTCTTTTAAGAATTATCTGTATGGGCTCAAAGTGATAACAGCAACTCAGAAGATTAGATAGGAGCCTTAGGAAGCAGTGAGTTTATGTCACTGAGGGAGAAACAACTTAGAAAAGGAAGGTGAGAATGGTTACACAACGTAAAGAATGTCACTGATGTCACTGAATTGTACAGGCAGAAACGGGTGAAGCGGTGCATGCACTGCTGTGTATACTCTCAACAAAATCAATAAAATTTAGAAAAAGAGACAACCCTATGGAGCCCAGTTGCACTCTGACATGCGTGGGGTCCCCATGAATTGGTGTCACGTCAATGGCAGCTGTTTGTGTGTTTTTAAGGGCTTGGGTGGGCACAGGAGTGGCTGCTAAGGGGCAGGAGGTTTCTTTTGAAATGTTCTCAATTTAGATTATGGTGATGTTTGGAAAACCAAACATTTACTAAAAATCACTGACTCGTACACTTTCTACCAGTGAAGGTGATGGTCATTAAGTCTACCTCAACAAAGTTGTCTTTAAGAAAACAACAAAAGAAGAGCAGACATGGAAGACAGACTTGAGGACATCAGAGGTCTTCCTTCACACTGCCTCAGGGAACTCTAGAAAGTGCTGTATTCTTCAGGGGCTGACAGTAGATGATACCCACCCTCCCTCAAAAAAAAAAAAAAAAAAAATGCTGTCAAATCGATTCTGACTCACAGTGACCCTATAGGGCAGAAGAGAATTGCCCCACAAGGTTGTAAATATTTACTGAAGCGGACTGACATATCCTTTTCCTGCAGAGCAGCTGGTGGGTTTGAACCACTGACCTTTTACTTAACAGCCAAGTGCTTAACTACTGTACAACCAGGGATCCATATAGTAGATGATAGGCAAAGAAAACTGTTTAAGAAGTAAAATTGTTAACTTTTAAAAAAGGAAATTGGAATAAGTTAACATTTTACATGAAATAGATGAATGAATGCCCAGTCTTTGGCCTACCTTCCCCTGGTTACAGTCCAGTGCTGATCGTCAAACAGCAGGACAATGGGAAGAAGCCCTGCTGCAGCAGACTCACTGATAACGGATCCTACTTGGGGTATATCTCTGTTTTCCTCAATTACGCTAGTAAATTAACATCACTGCGTTTTAAAACCCACCAGCCACTCCTGGGAAGGAAGGTTGAGCAATCTACTTCCATACTGACACAGCCTCAGAAACCCAAGGAGGGGTCGCTACGAGTCGGGTCCAACCCGACGGCACATAACAACAACAACAACAACAGCATTTTAAAAATAATATCAAGATTAGAAAGGTTCATTTACAAATTGGTTTTCTGGCTGATTCCAAAAGACAATAATTAAATGCAGCTGAACACTGGAATTCTCAACCCACAAATGCACCCTCTGGTGGCAGCCAGGGACACAATAAGAGAGCCTTCTTCAAAGCTCTCACTGTCAGTGAAAAGAATGTTTTCAGCTGAAGCTGCAGGCATTACCGAAACCTATTTCTTCAGATTTGCCTGAAAGATTGGGTAATGAAAACGCCAGGCCCCACAAAATGCTAAGAACCATGGTCACACTACGGTTCTCCTATTACTAGTCCCCACACTCAGATTCAAGAAAGAAAACCCCTGGGTGTTACTTGAAGGTGGGGAGTTTCCTCCCCTTTCAGTCCACTATTTACCTTTGAAAAGGCCGTCTAGGAAAGGCGGTTCTATTTCTTTTATTTTTCAAATCCACTGCTAACTTCGAAAGAAAACGAAGAGTGGATTGCTCGCCAACTGTTGCTACTGATACCAGAGGACAGCTCTGTTACTGCTTTGGCCGTTGGGCAGGGGCGGGAAGAAGGGGAGGGCGGCACTCAGCAGAAGGTGCTGGAAGCCTGGTGGTGGTGGTTGGGGTCCTGGGGGAGACTCCCCGCTTCCCCAGCAGCACTCAGTCTGTGGGCCAGTGCTCTTTGACCTTTTCCCTCCTGTCACTTATGTGGCATTTCACACTTAACACAGGAGGCTCCTACTCCTGGAAGGTGGAGAAGACTGTTAACTGTCGTCCTTTAAAGGAATCTTCTGGAACGGTTCTCCTGTTCTTCCTCTTCCAACAACTGCTCCTCTCTACCTACTTTGCTTTTAGTCACATAGATGAGGAGGGTTTTAAAGCTATAGTCTGTGTTTTACAGACTAAAGTCAGTCAAAATAGAAGGCACGCCTATACTTCCATCCAAGTCTTCTAGAGCAGCTGACAAACCAACCGGAACGTTCTTACACTATGATTTGAAAACCAAGGGCTTAAGAGCATCTTCTAGCTTAGAACTCATTTTCTCACAAAAATACAAACAAAAACAACACAAATAGTAGGTTTATCCTAAATAACAACTAATGAACAGATAAAGCCCTTGAAAATGGTTGACATTTAGTAACATACCGTTAAACTGAACACTTCTTCTCCACTCTGAACATCCCACAGTTTGGCTGTTGTGTCCATACTTCCTGTAGCCACCAGTGTGCTTTGGGGGTTAAATGATAAACACACCTACAGTACAAAAAGTAGAAGACATTTTTTAAAGGTAGAGTTTGGAACTGTTAATTTACAAGGAAAAGTTTCAAGATATAACAACTACCTTAGCAGATTCCGTTTAGCTCCTTGCACCCAACATGAATGCAGAGTGCTGTGCCAGCCTTCTCTCTTCCATATCACCCTCACTAGTTTATCTCCCATCCGCCTTCCTTCTCTCTTCATCCATCGTCTCCACATACCCGGCACCCTGTGAGGGTTCACTCCTGCCAGCATCCTTGACACGCTTAGTCCCTATCTTTCAACTGTACCCTTCATGCAAACCCCTGAGCTTAACAAACCTGGGATTTTACCCAAGCATCCACTCTCCCTGCCTCACCACTCAGCTAGGGCAGCTTATGCAAACTACACAGCTGATTCTAGTGTTGCTCATTCGTGCCTCCTGTCCTCAAATGGCTAAAGGGCTGTGATGGCAGCAATAAGGGAAAGGCCAGCCAGATAGCTTGAATCTCAAGGAAGAAGGGGTTCGCTTTTTCTGTTTGCTTCTGATCCGGTCTGGAGGTGGCAGAGGGAGCCAGCACCCCTCCACCGAGCCAGGGGTTGTGGGAGGACATGCAGCCTCTTCTCAAGAGGGCATCATTCCAGGATCCAGCCTGGAGCTGGCAGATCACTCATGTTTGGTGCAAGGAGCTAAACGGAATCTGCTAAGGTAGTTGCCCTTGGCACCACTTTACACGTGGTTAAACACATCTCTGGCTCAGTAGGTTCTCCCATTCTCCACACTTGTCCTCAGCCTCATGCTCACCCCTCTTTAGCAGATAACCTGGCCTCCTACTACTTCCATGAGAAAACTGGTCTATTAGGTAAGACTTCCGCCCCGGCCCTCACTTTGCTTTCCTTCAGTCTCAGATGAAGAGTGAGCCCTTCATTCACTTGAGAACCTTGCCTTCCTTGCAGCCGTGGGAAGCAGGTGCCCACTAACTCTTCCTTCCCTCTAAACTAGTTCCTTCCTGGTAGCCTATGAACATGCTTGAGTTTTTCCCACATAGAAACAAATCCTCCATCGACTCTCCATACCCCTCTTAACTACCTTTTTTTTTTTTTTTTTCCATTTACAACAAGATTCCTACCATCCATGTTTTTCGATTCCCATTCATTCTTTGAGTTCACTCTCCTATCCATTCTAAAACCTGTCTGGCTAAATGTCCAAGGGACTTGGTCAGTCATCCCACTGAGCTGCTCTGGCATCCAGGACTGCTGACTCCTTGGTTCTTGATCATCTCTCCCTTCTTGACAGCCTCAACAGTCCTCTCCTTTCCTTCTCTTCTTTTCTTTTTTTGGCATCTTGTGAAGTTTTCTCCTCTCTATCCTTCCAACATTCTGATAGTCTTCTCTCCACAATCTAATTTCCTTTGGGAAATTCAGTTACACAGTGGTTTCAGCTACCACCCATATGGCAGTAACTCATAAAGCTATGTCTCCTTCCCAGATCTTGCCTCTTAGCTGCAGCTCCACAGAGCCAACTGCCAAAAGGTTGCCTCTACTGGGGTATCACCAATCTGCCTAAGACACGAGAGTCCTGTGAACCAAGCCTGCCCCTCCTCTTCTATGTGGGAATTGGTGAGTGGTGCTGCCCATCACAGAGCCCAAAATTGGAGAATCACATCTTCTATCTTCTTGGAACCACATCCGATTCATTCTACTCCCTTAACACCTTTCACATTCTTCTCATCTGCCTTACAACAGGCTTTCATCAATTATCACTTGGACTAGAAGGCTTATCTGGCTCCCATTCCTCCACATGGCCACAAAAATGAGCTTCCCAAAGAGCCAAACTGATCAGACCACCTCCCAGCTGAAAATCCACAACTGTGCCAGGCTGCCTATAGGATGAAGTCCAAATCCTTAGCATGGCACGGAAACCAAAAACCAAACTCCCTGCCATCAAGTTGATCCAGACTCATAATCACCCTAGAAGACAGGGAAGAACCAGCCCATGGGGTTTCCAAGGCTACAGATCTTTATGGAAGCAGACTGGCCCAACTTTCTGCCACAAGAGTAGCTGGTGGGTTTAAACCGACCTTTGGTTAGCAGTCAATTGCTTAAACCACGGCACCCCCAGAGCTCCTATGGCATGGAAGGTCCTCTGTAATTCTATAATATGCTTTTCCTGATGCTCTAACTCCAATGCCATGCCCTGTGCTCTGGCCTCAAATGGCTACAGGTGTGCTAAAGCACTGCTGCTCTTAACCCTCAGGCTGTTGGGCAGGCTAAGGGTCCTCACGTTACCTCTGGTCACAGGCCCCAGAGAGATGACCCCAGTGAGTTGCATGTTCATATTAACATATTCTGTGCATGCTATCACACGGGGGAGGTGGAGAGGCATGGCACTAGCCACACAGAGCCATGTGGGTTCTCAGACACACACCAGTGTTGGCCACCCCACTGGGCACTGGCCAGTGCGGTGCTCTATGTCTGCAATGTTCCTACCCTCCTCTGTGAAATCTTTCCAGAATGTTCCTCCCATCCGAGAAGACTGCACCACTCCCCTCTGGGCCCTTGCTGAGCTACCTGCCCACTTCTAACATACCCACAAGGCTGATTTGAACTTACTCATTGGCACCCCACTCCTCCTACTAAACTGCAAAGTCCGTGAGGGGCAAGAACTGCTTCTGAATGTATTTTGTATCCCAGGCACATAGCCCAGGGCTGCACACAAAGTTGATAGTGAGGAAATATTTATTGGATGGATGTTACTGACTATCTTCCCAGGATCTATATGTAAAGAAAATCTTTTCAAGATTCTAAAGTGTACGCAAGGATGGCACTCCATGGGGACAAGGAGTATGTCTTTCTTGTGCCCTTGGGCAGATTCCTGGACCTCTCTATGACTCACTGTCCTCAACTGTAAAGTGGGGGAATACCACCACCTCCGCACTAGGGTTGTGAGGAGACGCACTAACACTAAGCTAAGGACAGCCCTCTGGTAGAGTAAGCACCACTGAAGTGCCAGCGTGCAGCCAAGGGCCTTGAGCTGCTGTTGGATGAATATACCATGAACTTGAAAATGAACATAAATAAATTTCACTCCTAAAAGAAGCAGGCTGTTTATTTTAAAGGCTAGTTCCTGTTTCCTAGGGTGCCAGTTATCCCACTAATTGCTAGAACAGGTAGCACAGAATTGGCCAAGGGCAAGGGCTTCCCAATAGAGCCATTTAGAGTATCAGAGTCATTTACGCAAATCTGAATTCTGGCCATACCAAGAATACCATCAGCCTAAAGGCTTTACATGGTAATAAGGAAGTTATTTTAAAAGTTATTTTAATAACTTCATCAACCCTCGCTGGGTCTGTCCTCTGAAGACAAGGCAATGAAGAAGAAGTGTGATTACATGTTGTAGTCATACGCTTATCATACTACACGTTCACTCAGCCTCACAGGGTAAGGGTCTTTGACAGGATCTGCAAGATGTGACAGCTACAGTCATTTTTACATTGTATCTATTCCACCATATAAAGCATATACAGTTTAAATAAAGCATTGGTAAATTAGAAAATTAGTTATAATAGAATTCTAAAGAAAGAATGATATTAAAAATATTTTTAAAAATGTTAAACATACTCACTATTTCTGCTGTATGGCCCCGAAAGGTATGGTAACATTTTCCTGTCTCTACACTCCATAGTTTACATGTCTTATCGAAGGAACCAGTGGCAATTTTGTCACTAGAAGTAGAAATATATATATATATATATATATGGCTTTCAAATACAATTTATAGTATTGATACACTGAATTAAGAAACATTAATATCTGAATCTAGCCAGAATGTTTCTTAGCAGCTAGGATGGTGAGATTTCACTTCACATACTTTGGTCACGTCATCAGGTAACACCAGTCAACCACGCTATGGCATAGGTCACATTCTCCAGAGACACCGGCCAAGCTTATCAGCGTGGCAGGGACAGCCGCTAGGAGAACTGGAGAACTCGCAGGCGTCTCAGAGTCAGTCTTGCTTGGCCGGGAGCTCTGGCTCTCCTCTTCACTGCTGAAGGATCCTGGGAAGGGCACTTGGCTCTCGTACTCCACCTGGTGACCTACCGTCGAAAACTCAGCCTCTGCAAATGCTGTGGATCCCAGCTGTACTCTGACACACATCACCATGAGTCCGTGTTGACTCGATGGCAACTGGTTTATAGAAAGACATTCACACTGACCCCAAAGGGCTTTAAGAAGGATTCAAGGAGCTATCTGAAGGGCCTCCAAATCCCACATGGGGCACTCCACACATTTTGCTAGCTATCTTCTTCCTCTCTCCCCCGGCAGACGGATGACAAGTCAATGAAACAAAGAAGGCAGGAATGAGTGCACGGATGTCCCCTTACCCGTAAGGATTGTTGAAGGCGATGGCGTAGACCACGTTCCGGTGGCCCTCCAGCGTGTGCAGCTCCTCTCCGGAGGCGGTATCCCAGAGTTTGCACGTCCAGTCATAGCTGCCTGTGATAAAGCTGACACAAGGGATACATGGCAGGGTGAGAACAGCGGGGTCTTACACAAGACTTCATTTTTTACCTGCAGGGTAAACATGCAGTTGACTGCTTTTTACAATGTCCATTGCATATGTAGAGCAAATTTGCTTACATTGGGAACAATTTCTAAATCCCCTGGCTTAGAATGAGTCATGAAACAGAACAGTAACGCTGCAGTTTTCGTTTACGTGTTATTACATGTTACATGTAACCGTATGCTGTATGTGATACTCAGGGGCATTTCTGAAGCTCACTGTAGCTCAGGGAATGGTATTGCCATTCCCCCCATTGGTCAGACCTCAGACCTGTGCCGCCCTTGAGGGCTCTCATCCGTCCCCTCGCACACTCCATCTACCAGTCGTGTTAACACAGGCCCCTCTCACTAGCTCCACGGCCTCCATCTCTCGTCTAAAGAAACAGACAGACAACGAGTCCTGGCTCACTCAGGGTCCTTACACATCAGTTTTCCACATGGAAGTTGGAGTTCTCTTTTTTGCCTTCCTCAATAGCTCCCCAGCAATCCAGAGGAAAATTCAAACTTCTGCTCCTGGGTCTCTAAGGCCACTGGAGCTCCTGGCTACCTCTGGGACCTCAACTTCCCCCATAAGCAAGTGACTGGCCACATTCACTTTTCTGCTGGTCTCTGAAGAGCCGGATTATTTGTTCTAAATGTGCTGTTCCTTCTGTCCATTGGGTTTGCACCATCGTCCCCAGGAACGAGCCCAATGACTACACACTGTAAGTGTCCAATAAATATTTGTTTAATAAACAAACTGATGCTTTCATATGACTACTCTACTACAGAAGCAGCTGGTATGTTACTCTCTAATCTTTTATTTATTATTCTTCTCTCTCCTTTATTTATTTATTTTTCTTAATTGTGATTTGGGTTTAAGTTTACAGAGCAAATTCATTCCCCATTCAACAGTTCAAATACATTTTGTTTCATGACATCGACTGCAATCCCCACAGTGTGCTCTTTAACATTTTAAAGTAAAATAACGGTATCTTAGTCATTCTTTCCATATTTTCAAATATGGAAAAGAGATTTTCATTTATATACATATATATTTCTATTTCTGAAATAGAACTTGTTTCAAAAGCTTAACAAAAAACGTGAGGGGTTTTTTTTTTGTTTTTTTTTTTGCCAAAATAGAAAAGGAAATGCACATAATTGAAAAGCCAGTGTGCATTTCAAGTGGTAATGACAAGAAGGAAAACATATTTTGGACCCTAAACAGTCCAGCAGGAGCGGCGGTGATGTGTCTTGACACTCTTCTAGGCATTTTCTTTCCAGCCTCTTCTCCCATGACCACCCTTTACTTTAAATTTACAAGTAAATACACATATGCACAACTACCAAAAAAACCTGGTGTTGTCGGGTAGATTCTGACTCATAATGACCCTGTAGGACCGAGTGGAACTGCCCCATCCGGTTTCCAAGGCTGAAATCTTTATGGAAGCAGACTGCCACATCTTTCTCCTTTTGGTTAGAAGCTAAGCACTTAGCCACTGCGCCACCAGGGCTCCTTTATGCACATATAACTCACTGCCACCAAGTTGGGTCCAACTCATAGCAACCCCTCCTTGGGTCACTGAGGCAGTATCACTACAGAAGTAGATTGCCCAGTCTTCCTTCCGAGAAGTGGCTTGTGGGTTTGAACCACCAGCCTTCTGGTTAGCAGTCAGATGCCTTAGGCACTATGCCACCAGAGCTCCCTTATGTACATATAGACACGTCTATATTTATGTCTAGGTCAAGACCACACTTCTATCTCCTCTTTCCTACAAAGCACCTCAGGTTCCAAGCTGGTCAAATCATATTCAAAGCAGACTTGAAGGTCCTATGATCACTGAGCTAGATGGGAAATGCCTGCTCTGAATTTACTAATCACAAGTGACCATGACATGTCCCCTGTTTGACTGCTCCTAATGCCAAGCCCAATCCAAGAGATCGCCCCTGCCCCATACACCCCAGGAATCTCCTGACCCAGCCTGAGGCAGCCTACGCAGTACCTGGACGATGTGCTCAGCTCTCAATATGCAGCCCAAGCAGAGGTTACCACAGTGACACCAATGATAACCCGCTCCCAAACACCCACTGCCACCAAGTCGATTCCAACTCATAGTGACCCTATAGGACAGAGTAGAGCTACCCCATAGGGTTTCCAAGACTATAAATCATCATGGAAGCAGACTGCCTCATCTTTCTCCCATGGAGTGGCTGGTGGATTCAAATTGCTGACCTTCTGGTTAGTAGCCCAATGCTCTAACCACAGTGCCACCTGAGCTCCTTAAATCATATTATAGATATTATATGATAAAAAGCTCAGCTTTAGGGTCCATTTCTCCTCTCTATGCAGTCGGGTACTACAATAAGAGACGTAAACACATTACATGCATAACTATCTGGCATCTTCAACCACTAGAGTCAGATAGTTTTCTATCGTTTGATTGTTAAAAAGTAGAAATGAAAAGAGCCTCTTACCACGAGCCTGACTTGTTAAGGGCAACATTAGTCAACGGCAGTATATGCGCTCTCAGGACCTTCAGAGAAAACATGGTTTTAAACCCAAACCAAGTTAAATTAGCGTTAACTTCAAGCCAGTTCAATGTTGTCATGATTATGTGCAATGAATGGACAACTGCCACATCTGGACAAATGAGAAAAATAAATACCACACCTCCCATTATTAAGACAAGGAATACATTTTGTAGTTACTGTGTTTTCCATCAATTTACCTTTAAGATAAATCATGGATATTAAATAAGATACCCAATACCACTAATTCCTAAGATTTCCTTTTACATAATTTGTGTGGTCTTATTCATCTGCACACATGGAGTAAATTGGAAATACATTAAATACGTTTCAAATATAGACTGCACAATGTAGTGTTACTATTTGAATCCTCAAGTTCCTTGAGAGTCGAGGCTATGTGGTATTTTCTATTTTTCTTTCAAACCCCGTGTTACCTAGCACTTAGCAGATGCTTAATAAACACATATTGAATGAATACACTGAAACTGGATCACCTGTTCACAGAGTGATTGACTAGGTTGGGACAGCCCCAGTTATTTCTGTTGCCAGCACGCAACTATTAATAGCGTCCCCTTTCACTATCAAAAATTGTCCCCTTTGGAGGCTACATCAGGTCACACCATTTATGGAGCTCATAGTTGAAGTTAAACAGCGCCACCTTCTGGTTACAAGAGTAATTACATCCTCTAAATCTATATCAGATGACTGCAAAAGAGTGCCTGAATATTTTATACTAAAGTACGCCAAATACATAAATAATAATCATATTTCACTATAATAATGAGATTAAAATCAGGAGAAAGCAAAACAGTGTAATCTGAAGCAATCGGGATAAGCTATCGTCTTACTGAACAAGGAAAAAGGAAGCTGCTCTTAACGACTAGAGAAAAGTAAGAGTGTGAACAACTGACTAACACTATATAAGCTGCATCAATGAATAACTGACTTGCTATACTTTAAACCATATGGAAGTAGAAAATCTGAAATGTTGATATACTATGAAATACAACTTCTTAATATTATTCTAACTAAAAAGCTGTAATTGCTCAATAATTTAAAACTACCTTAATGATACTCTTTATCATTATAAAGCAGAGAAAAAATTACTAATACAAATCTTTTTCAACCTCTCAAGAAATAAATTAATTTCATTTATTCATTCCACAAGCATTTATTGAGACTTACTCTTGGTAAGGATATGTGAGGCACTGAAATAAACAACAATTATTTTTGGAAAAAAATATACCCACTCCTCTTTTATGAGCATGGTTCAGTTCCAAAGACCAGGTTGTTATGTGAAAATCAGCATTATGAGAGAAAAAAAAAAAAAAACCTGAAAAATGACTACCTCATTGTATAACTGCCAAATTACATCATCACATAACTGCCAAACCACTGGGAATCATGGCCTAGCCAAGGTGACATATGACCTTAGCCATCACAGCCAGCATTACTCTCACCTCATACCTGGTGTGCATTACTGCCAGATGTGCATCGTGCTGTGCAAAATAGACAGTAGATTTTTTAATGGGTCATAAATGTGAGATGTCAGACAACGAGATAGTAAGTGAGGAGTAAGCGTATTATTAGGGAAAGAGAACACGTGATTTGTATTTTATTCCAGATTAATAGAAAATCCACGATTTCACAGAAAATTTTCTGTCGCATATTTTAAAACACTTATTACCTTAAACAGATAGAACTTGTGGTCCTTGTGTTGCTCCAGCTTATCTTGCAGCCTCTGTATTAGAAGTTTGACTTGGTCAGCACGGGAAGCTGTTATCAGAGGTTCTGCTCTCCGGATCTCGTCCACTAAGGCCCTGACATCAGTACTGAAATTCACCACATAATAAGAAGTTACTTCTTTTCTATTTCAAAAATCGTACGTACATTCATCACATGAAACACTTGGTTTATGAAGGATGACATTTATAAAACGTTCAGGATTCCATCAACTTTCCCAAGAAATTTCTAGGAAAAAAAAATCTATCACACAAACCAATACAAAGCATGGTCCCATGGATGGAAGAAAGCCGCCTGCATGCGCATTCTCCAGATGTGTTTGGCAATAACTGAGATTTCTGTCTCAGGTGTGCAGGCATCCCATTGGCTCAGCTGGGAAGGCAGATGCATGCTGGTTCTGAACATAAGCTTGTTTTCTTTTCCTTTCTTCCTTTTTTTTTTTTTTAATTTCTTTTTCTTTTAAAGTAACAGGCATTAACTGTGCTGGTACTACCAGGGGTGGGAGGGAAGAGGAAATGGGAGTCACTGTTTAGGAAGTGCGGAGTATCTGTTTATGGTGATGAGAATTTGGCCATGGACACGAGTGATGGCTGCACATCATGATGGATGCCAATGATGTCATTAAACTGCACATGTGAACAACCCGAAATTGGCAAATGTCGTGTTATATATATTTTTACAGCAGTAAAAAAAAAAAGTGTTGGCACGATGCTTTTCACTTTATACATGTTCTCCTAATGCTTAGAACTCTCTAATGATTTTATCATAAATATTTTAGAAACAAAGAAATCAAGGTTCAGAAAGATTCAACTTTTAAATTAAGACCTTAACCCAGTGCCTAAACAACAATAAACATCCAATGAGTTACAGTTAATAATATTTCTTATGGACTATAGTATTTTCCTGAAAGAGAATTGGTTTAAAAAAATTTACAGACTCCAGTGCTCCACCTGGTTCCAATAATCCTTAAAAATTCTGCTAATTTTTCCTTTACAAAATAACATTAGTTTAGAATACTATGCAATACTAAAGAATAATGAAGAATCTGCAAAACACCGCTTAACATGGATGAACTTGGAGGACATTTTGCTGAGTGAAATAAGTCAATCACAAAAGGACAAATATTGTATTAGTCTGTTATTGTAAAAGTTAAGGAAAGGTTTAGCTATAGAAGGAAATTTTCTTTGTTGGTTACCATGGATGGGAAGGAAGGGGAGGGAATGCTGTTAGATCGATAGAGATAAGTATGGATTTGAGTGAAGAGAAGGGCAATGTACCAAATGGGAGTGACCAATATGGCAGTATTGAGGATGAGAAAGACATAGAGAGTACATGGGGGGAAGAGACAACAAATATGAACTCTTTTGCACATACAGTACTGCGTTGTCAGTGAAGGCACACATGGGTATATGGGTGGATAGATGGGTGGACAGGCTGAACGATTAGGTATGTCTATGAAATGGGGAGTGTATCCAAGAACACATATAAGGTTGGCAGACAATGGTCCTATAAGTTTATGTGAATGATCAGAATTCCCAGGTGTATAGTAGAGCTGACAAGGGGCAAGGTTGTGGTCACTGCTTGGTCACAACCAGCTACCCAGAGGGACTGAGTAGTTGAACCTGAGGGTTTGGGACCATAGTCACAGGGGACATTAAGCTCAATTGGCATACCATACTACACAAAACATTGTTCCACCTCCTACTTTGGCGAGTAGCGACTGGGATCTTAAAAGCTAGCAAGCTGCCATCTAGATGCAACAATGGGTCTCTCCTTGTCCAGAGCAAAGAAGAATGAAGAAAACCAAAATTCATGGAAACAATTCATCCTAGCGACTGGTACACCATCCGATCTGCAGCCTATATGACTATAAGACCAGAAGAACTAGATGGTGCCCGGCCACCACTGTCATCCACTTGGAAGAGGATCTATGTAGGAGATCCTTGATAGAGAGGGAGAACAATGTGGAACAAAACTCAAAATCATTTGGAGGAAAAAAAAAGGGGGGAGGGACCAGGTTTGCTGGTGTGATAGAGCCTGGTGGAACCACTGGGACTATGGCCCCTAGCTGCCCTTCAGGCTGGAATTGAACCCACACCTATGGTTTCCAGCCAAACAAAAGACAGGCGTATGAGTTGAACATTTACCTCAGGTAGATACACTCCTTGGAGAGAACAATCATGGGAGAAAGAAGGGCTGCTTATGCACAGGGAGACAGCTCAGGGGGCAGTAGTGCATGGAGGGATGGACACTGGAAAGAGGTAACTATGGGGAGGAAAAGGGAGGGGAGCTGTTGCATTGTGGTAAACTGTGGTCAATGTCATGAGACAAAGTATACGTGAACTGCTGTATGGAAAGTGAATTTGCTCTGTAAATCTTCACCCAAATCACAATAAAAAAAAAAAAAAAGAAGAAGTTCAAGCACAAATTCCAACACTATTCATTAACGTTTAGAGTTCCTACTCTAGGCTAACAAGAAGGCTGGTGGTTCAAATCCACCAGCCATTCCTTGCAAGGAAGGTTGGCAATCTATTTCCGTAGCGATACCATCTCGGAAACCCAAGAAGGGGTGGCTCTGAGTCAGGTCCGACTTGATGGCACATAACAACAACAGGACTGTCCATAGGTCAGATGTCTGTAACCTGGGGACTGCCTGTATTTAACGTTGGGTATGCGAGAGGTCCCCTTCCTGTCAGGCTCTGCTCCTCTCCCCTGCAATCATAGCAAAGTAAACGGACAACCACACTGCCAAACGGCTGGCTGCCCTGGGCCACGCCTCCAAAACACGTATTGCAGTACTTTTGTTTTCATTTTCACCATTGAGAACATCTTCACCTTAACTGGACTTTGACTCCTACAGGTCTAATCACTAAGCTCTGTCTCTTAAATGCAGTTTCACATAAGATTTCCTAAAGGGACTGAATTCTGGACATTAGGACCTCACAAAGCCATTTCCCCTGAGAGCACCAAGCTTCAGAGACAGAGATTAGGCTCCTCCCCACTCTGCCCCTTGACCCAGAAACAGGAAGGACATATGCAATCAACCATGAGCGTTTTTATTCACTCAGAAAACAAGAGACTCAGTAATATTCTTAAAACTCATTAACCAGTACTCCTCAAAAGGCCATGAGAAAGGAGGGAAGTCTGAGAAACCATCACAGTCAAGAGGAGCCTAAGTAGCCTTGACAACGAAATGGAACACGCTGTCCTGGGTGGGATCCTGGGACAGAGAAAAGGGCACTAGGGAAGAAGTAAGAGCACCTGAATAAGGATGGGCCTTAGTGGATAATAATACATCAACACTGGCCCGTCAACTGCAGCTCATCTACCATATTGATTAGTGTACCCTGTTAATAATACAGGAAACTCAGTGTGAGATATATGGGAACTCTAAAACAAATGTGCAAGTTTTCTGTAAATCTAAAACTATTCTATAATAAAAAATTGTTAAAAAGAAACTAAACTCTGTAGTCGGTAGAAGTTGTTTAATAAAGAAAAACAAAAGGGCTAACATTCCCAGCTCCTCAACAAGACACTCATGTGGAAGGCAGTGTTTCAAGAGAGACAGGAAATAATACAAAACAAAAGAACATTTTTTTTTTTTTTAATAACAGAATTTTCTGTTGGGTTTATTCAGTTCATCCACACAACATCCTATGTCAGGGTTTTTCAATAAAAAGTTTGGAGATGAAATGCATGTTGCCATTACATGATATAGCTAACTTACCTAGGACTGAGATCAAGCAAGTCTATGGATTTGGTCTTTATTTCTCCACTTTTTTCATATTCCAGCATAATTCCTATAAAAACAAACATATGTTATAAAACACTTAAGATGGCAGCCCGTGTTAAAAATTAACCTACTTGCATTTTTTTTTATTTGTATTTTTTTATTTTTCACTGTAAAAAATGTACAGTGATGTCTGGTTGTGAAACAAGATGGTGTAGACTCACTATTCCCTGATCCTTGCCTCTGAATACAACTAACCAAATGCAACCCACTGCCATCAAGTCGATCTAACTCATCATGACCCCCACTGGGTTTCCAAGGCTGTAAATCTTCATGGAACTGCCCCACCTTCCTCCCATGGAGCAGCTGGCAGGTCCGAATGACTGACCTTCTTGTTAGAACACAAATGTCTTAACCATCACCAGGGCACCTTAAATACAACTAAGTAACTTTGAAATAGTTCAACAGACAATAGTAAAAGGACTCAGAAAGGTGGATAGAAGAAGGTGGACTTCCAAGAGACCTCAAGACTTAAGGAATGACAATATGGTAAGTTTCCCATTTGTTTGTTTTGTTTTCTGGTTTTTAAATATCCCATATGCCCTTGAAATGGAGACCAAAGGGACTTGCAAACTTGAACCACCAAAAGGAGTTAAAAATAATAATAATAATAACTTGCTCTTTCTGGCCACAGGATAAGAAAAAGGGGAGCCTAACAAAGACCTGGTAAGAACTTCTAACCCCCTTCCACCAAAGGGGCACTTGCAGGCAGCCCAGTCCACCAGTGGAGGCCTTGACAGCACCAGAAGAAAAGCAGACCAGAGTGACACCATCAGGGCCCAGAAAACCAAACTGTCATTTGGAATCAAAACCCACAAAAGCAGACCAGAGCCTATATGCTAAACCCAAAAAGAATGATGGTCTGATAAAACGGAGGGTTTAGATAGGATCCAAAGTCTGCTAAAATGTCCCAGATACAATAAAAAATCACCCATCATAACAAGAACAGGAAAAGACAAGCAACAGATGCCAAAGCTGTGATGAATCCGATGATGAAACCATCTGACATGGATCTAAAAGAATCATCACTTGGATCTTCTTCTTTGATACTACATTAAATTTCAACAAAAGGCTCTGTGGAGAGCCAACCTCTGAAAACACTATTCTTTTTTTCCTTAAGAGTGAAAAAAGGTTGTTTGTGTCACATTCAACTTTTCAACAAAATTCAGATATTACAGCATTGTTAGAATCTTTTTAAAATTTTATTTAGATGCCACATATGGCATGTTCTGGAAACTATTTAAGGAAGCTTACAAAGATGAATAAAATACAAAAAGCTAAGATTGGAAGTACATCACTCCTCACTTATCAATATGGTTAGTTTCCAAAGACAAGGTCATTACACGAAAACTGGTGTTACATGAAAACAGAGGATGACCACACTGAATCATAAGACAGAGGGCCCAGAGAAGAGATTCCTACATAACTGCCAAATTTCATCATTACTATCTACCAAACCACTGAGAATCGGGCCCAGCCAAGTGGATACTCTCACCTTGCACCTTGGCATTCGTTACTGCCAGACATACATTATTAATGCACAAAATAGTCAGATTGTAGAATATTTATGATTGTCGCAAATGTGAAATGTTGATAACAAAACAGTCAATAAGTGAGGGGTGGTGTAGGTAAGAAATACATACATTGACAAGCAAAGATGTAGTTAAAGGAAAGATCACACAACTGCAAAAGGGGAAACTGAATACCTAAAAATAAAATTAACAAGGAAGATGCGAGCTGCACTATAACTAAACCAAAAGCCACTGCCTTTGAGTTGATTCCAACTCATAGCAATCTTACGGGGCAGAGTGCAACTGCCCCATGGGGTTTCCAAAGCTGTAATCTTTATTATGGAAGCAAACTGCCACATCTTTCTCCCATGGAGCAGCTGGTGAATTCAAACCACTGACGTTTTGGTTAGCAGCCAAGGGCTTTAACCACTGCACCAGCACGGTATTATGCTATGTTGTTGTTAGGTGCCATTGAGACAGTTTCGACTCCATGCAACCCCATGTACAACATAACAAAACACTGTCTGGCCCTATACTATCCTCAAAATCATTGTTATGCTTGAGCCTATCATTGCAGTCCTGTGTCAATCCATCTTGTTGAAAGTCTGCCTCTTTTTTGCTGCTTTACCCTCCCTCTGGGACTGGTCCATTGTAACAACATGACCAAAATATGATAGATGAAGTCTGGCCAATCCTACTTCTAAGGATCATTCCAGCTGCACTTCTCCCAAGACAGATTCGTTCATTCTTCTGGCACTTTATGGTATTTTCAATATTCTTCACCAACACCACACAATTCAAATGCATCGATTCTTCTTTGGTCTTCCTTATTAATTGTCCAGCTCTCACATGCATATAAGCTGACTGAAAATACCATGGCTTGGGTCTTTAAGACTTTAAAGAGGGCTTTTGCAGCAGATTTGCCCAGTGCAATATGTCATTTGATTTCCTGACTGCCACTTCCATGGGCGTTGACTGTGGATTCAAGTAAAATTAAATCCTTGACAACCTCAATATTTTCTCCATTTATCATGATGTTGCTTGGATTGTTGCATGATGTTGTGAGGATTTTAATTTTCTTTATATTGAGGTATAATCCATACTGAAGGCTGTAGTCTTTGATCTTCATCAGCAAATGCTTCAAGTCATCTTTACTTTCTACAAGCAAGGCTGTCTCTCATCTGCATATTGGATGTTGTTAATTAGTCTCCTTCCAATCCTGATGCCACATTCTTCTTCATATAGCCCAGCATCTCAAGATTATTTTTACATCTTATAGCTATGCTATCAGATATACAAAAGGGTTAAGATCAAAGGAGAGACACATTTCTAGAAGAGAAAAAGCAATGCTCTATAAGGGTATCAGATTAATCTAAGGATATAATGTAATAAGAATATGATCTTTTAACTAAAAACATTATTCTACCAGACATTAAGAAGAGATATAGAACAATAAAGAATGGTTCTGACTAAAAATAAATTAATATAATAAAAGTATCTATATAGAGAAAATTTAAAAATTGGGTGAAGGCAATATTTCAGATTAATGGGAAAAGAATGGATCATTCAATAAATAATGATAAAACAATCAGATTTTGTAAAAACTAATAAAATTAGATTTTTTCACTTTCTATTGTACACCTCATATAAAAATATACTGCAGTTGATTACTGTATTTTTACACAAATAACACACGAGTTATGCAATTTTTTGCAAACTGCATGATCCCCACTCCTGTGTTAGTTCTCTAGTCACATTATGTGTGCTATACGAGTGCACTTTTTATTTATATGGGAACATTATATGCTAAAAAATAGCAATTTTAATATTAAAAATAAAACACAAATATTCAAAATAGAATATATTTACATCTTAGTGTCTGCAATTGCCTTTCTAAGAATGATCTACAGAAAAAAAATTTATTTGTCTGATAGAAATTTTAAATTTGTACACAGTTGAAGATATCACAAAGTTAAAGACAAATGATAATCAGGGGAAAAAATACAAAGCTGTGTGTGTGTGTGTGTCTTAAAGAATGTAATGTAAAATACTTTTAAAATATGAACATTAATCTGCAGAATAAGTAGGACATGGTCAACAAACACACCAAAATAAAAGGTACCCAACTTCATTAACATGAAGAAACACAAATAAAATAAACAGATCTATTTTTTAACCCATCGGATTGGCAAAGTTTCTCAACTGATACTACTTAACATTAGCAAGGTTGAAGACACAGGCCTTCTAATATACTGTTGGTGGACTTGTAAGGTGGTCCCTTTCATAAGGGGCCATGGAACATTGTCGAACAAAATCTTAAGGGTCATATTTTTTGTGGGATATCCTTTATTTCTTGAATGAATACATGCTAAATGGCTCAGCAATTCCACTTCTAAGAATGTTTACTAAACAATGGCACAAAGATGAAATAACCAAGGTTCATTCCTGCTTTGGTCATAGAAAGGAAATGTAGAGAAATCTAAATATTTACCTATAATGAGTTGATAGATTAAATTATGGTACTTCCTGGGCAATATTCAATCATTAAAAGACCAAGGTACACATATCAGATAGGGAAAGATGCCCTAGAAGGGTTCTTTTCAGTTTAAAAAAAGGGCTAGGAAAAAACAATGTCATTACATATGTATGTGGATATAGATGCAGAAAAAAAGACTCGCCCAAAATATAAAGTGGGTTTTTCATAGAGAGCTATTTGTAGGGGAAAGAGGAGCCAGGACAGGCAAAACTTCTATCTTGTACATTAAATACCACATACTCTTATAACAGGCTTGTATTGCTTTATAATCAAAATTTCCATTTTGAATTAAGGTAAAAATTGACATGAGTGAAAACAGCAGTTTCTAAGATATTCAACAATGTGACAGGCAACTTGGTTTTAACATATGTGTGTGTGGTGTAGTAAATTACATAGTGTGGCTTTTCTAGCCATAAGTCTTTGTAAACTCCGTGGTTGAATTTGCCGTAAGCAACTGAGTAGCTCCTGATTGTTAAAATTATCCACCTAGGGTATTTCTGTTGGGAGCAGCATGAAGCAATTTTCTGGGAAGTTCTCTCTCTCTCTCTCTCTCAGGTATATAGAATTCTGATGTTGGGACATGTTAGTTTGGCCACTCTGCCAGGCTCAAAAGGAGCCCTCCTAGAGGCAGAAGTCTCTCTGACTGCTGGCTGAGAAAGACGTACTGAGAGAAACATGCTCCTGAGAGACATGCACTGCTGAGAAAAAGACACTGAGAGACACGCATTGCTGAGAGAGGGACTGTTGGCTGAGAGACAGTGGACTGAGGGAGAGTGAGCATTGTTCTTGAACTTAAATTGTAGCCTGTTACTTCCCTAGTAACCCCATAATCTATGAGTTGTGTGTGGCCACTGCAGCAAATTATCAAACCCAGCAGAAAGGTGGTGGGTGCTGTGGGAAGAACAGTTGGTGTCAGGGTTAGTGAAAAGGCTGGAGGGAGGCGGCATGTCTGGCCTCG